GCAAATAGCAAAAAACCCTCCCCAAAAAAACAACCAAAAAAAAAAAAAATAGACTGCTGATGACGCATATATAAAGGACAAAATAAATTTAAATCATATTATTTTGTGTGACAAGCAGTTTTTTGTTTTTTTTTTTAAATCTTACCAATTGGACGATTACCAAGGTACTGCCGAAGACTGATATTGCCTAACTGATCTGGTATCACCTGGTTCACTTGAAGACAAATTTCTGTATCTTCTCCTCGGATGTCAATTTCTCCATTAACACCAGTAATTTTAAACACCACAACTGACATCTATTAATGATTGTATAAATAATATTAGTATCCCAAGTAGTTTAAAACAAAATTTAAAGAAAAGACACAGGAAACTACTATTATCTTCTAAAAATACAACTATGATCCAATAAGCTAAAAATATACTTGTAATTTACAGAACGTGATTGCTACATTATACTGAACAACTTAAACTTCTTTTCTTTTCAATCATGATAAAATATTTCAGGTCCTAAAGATTAACTATATATCCTATCACTAAAGGCTGGACATCATATTTTTTTTAATGTATTCTATAACAATATTTCACTGAGTCAGGATTGCTTAAAAGAAACTAGTAACACATTTTCTTTGTAGAAAGCCCCTCCTTATAAGAACTGACCATCTTTCTTGCCATCGAACTTTCTCCAAGTGCATTTTAAAAAACTAAATATAGGTTAAAAATAAGACAAGAATGGAAAAAAAAACCTGAACCTCTGTTTCAATAAGAATAAAATAAAATCTAGAAAAGTAAAACACAAAGAAAAACACCTGATTATGGGAGAAGAAATCATCTTCAAGAATGGAAGGAGTGGGAACCAGCAGTTAGCGTAATGGCTATGTCACTGGACTCCCACGTAGTCGACCGCGGTTCGTATCCCGGACCCGGTGGCTTAAAACTCACGCCGGGCACGTGTGCGTGCGTGCCCAAGATCCCGAGAGGAGAATGGAGGGGAAGGGGTGGGGAGACCATCCCCCCTGGGGGGTGATTTCTCGCTTTCTGTCTCTATGTCTCTCTCTGTCTGTCTGGCGAGCGCACGCGCTCTACAGTGAAAATCTAAATAAAAAAAAAAAAAGAATGGAAGGAGCAAGTGAATCCCCCACATCTGAGAATTTATTGTACATAATAATGTCCTAAAACATGTATCTATCAACATGGAGGAAAGTCGATGGCATTTCTTTGCATAGAATCACTCTGCAATTATTACCAGGTCATCGTGGTTTTCTTGAGCCCCCTCTGAATTTGTACTAATGGCATCTGGAGAGGTTTCACCATAATTCTGTAGGTTTGCACTAGCGTTCACACTCTCTCCTGGGCTCTGGTGATCTGTACTTGAAATCTTTTTAATTCCTGGAATAATACAAAAGTAAACAAATAAACTAAAAATCAGGGTTTTGCTTTGTTTTTTAGATTTTTGCCATAGCACTGGAGAAAAAGAGAGAGACAAAGACAGAGGGAAAGTGAGAAGTCACCCTCTAGCAGATGGTCACAGGACAATCCCTCCTTTTGTAATTTTGGGCACACACACATGCCTGGTGTGTTTTTCAAGCTGTTGGACCCAGGACTTCAACCACAAAGTTGGCCATGTCAGATACAGCACCTTGACCCCCACGCCAACTGCTGGCCCCTAAAAATCAGTATTACAAATTATTCCACAATGCTGTTTATTTAACCAAAATGGTCTATGTCTTCAACTCTTTTTCAAAGATAGCCTTGTTTAAAAGACCATAAGCAAACAAAAATGGGATTGTTAATTAGTTAGCAAATAATGAGAAATAATTTCCCATGATGAAATGTTATATACTGAAGCCTAAACTCACTATAAAGAAAATTTCCACTGCTGAATACAGCCTGTGTGCCCCCCCCCCCATTATGACTTCAGGGTTGATATAACTAACAGGTCCCCGTCAGCTGTGCCTCCCTCTAATGTGTTCACACTGTATAATCCCAGTCTGATCATTTTATTTTTCTTTTTATTATCCTATAGCATCTCCTAATAATTTTTCACTTAAAGTTAACATCACTATTATCAATTTGATAATCCTCCATCTTTATCTAGTTGCCTTAATTTCTCAGTGGCTATACCTAACTATTTCTCAAATTAACTATGATACAACAAAATTAGTGAAAAAATTTGGGTCCCACAGATTACTACTTCTAAAAAATAACTTATGAATAAAGAGTTAAATTGTAAAAGCCAAAGACATACAAAATAGAGGTCTTAATTTATTATTATGTCCACTACTATATAATCAGCTTCTAACCTAGTGTTTGACAATATACAATAGTAAGTGCTCAATAAATTATCTATTAAACGAATGAGCCAGGGAAGATGCATATAAATAAAACTATGGCATGAAGAGCTAATTAATAACAAGATTTCACAGGGGGTTCCCAAACATAGAGTTGAGAAAGCTTCTTTGATAAAAATATAAAGTCCTAGAGAAAGCTTGAGAAACATGATGGGTACATGTGCATGCATACCAAAAATTCAGAAAGGAGAGAATGATGGAGGAGGAGGAACTGTGGTTCCTCCATGGTGTGTGTGGGGGTGTGCTTTCTTCCTTCTCCTCTGTCTGTCTCCTGTGTGTGCATGTGTCCTCTGGCAAAGAAAAAGAAAAAGAGCATTCCAGGCACAGGCAGAAGACCGTGAGGTGGAAAGAAGTTCACCACAGTAAAGAAATTGGGAAAGAGACTAGAGTAAAGTACATGAAGGGACTTTAAAAAGTTTGTGGAGAACTAGCCCATGGCATAGTGGTTAAGGTACAGGATTCCTACATGGCCAACTGCGGTTTGAGTCCTGGACCTAGTGCCTTGGAAAATCACTCCAAGCACAAGTGCATGTGTGTCCAAAATCCTGAGAGAATGAAGGAGAAGGATTACGGCATGACCAACCCCCAGGGGGTGATTTCTTACTTTTCTTCTCAATGTCTATCTCTCTCCAGCGAACACATGAGCCCTAATGGAGAAACCTAAAGAAATCAAAATAAAGGGCTGGCAAGTGGTGTGGTGGTTAAAGGCGGACTGTGGTTTGAGTTCTGGATCTGATGGCCTGCTTTCTCACTTTCCCTCTCTCTTTCTCTGTTTCTCTCTGATCAAACTGAAAAATAATAATGATAATAAAAAATAAAGTTAAATAAAAAGTAATTCTTAAAATAAATAGAAACAAAAAGATTTTTAAAAGAAAGCAAGACACAACACACACACACACACACACACACACGGCATGTGTGAGTATATGCTCAAAATCCCAAAAAGAGGAAGAGATAGTGGAGAAGGGATTGTGGCGTGATCATTTCTGAAAAATGGAATTAAAATATGATTTAATTTTGGTGCAAGAAAATGTTTACATCATGCACAGTTTTTTCCATATTTTATTATCTACTTGAAGACTACTCATACTGTGATACCTCTGAAGCATAATGGGCACATAGGAAAACAAAAGGCAAGCTAAGGCTACAGCTCACAGAGTGCTGTCAATAACGTTAAGAATTTAAAACTTAATTGCTTATAGCAATGAGATGATATTAGGATTAAACTAGAAAATAGCATGACCGAATCTGTATTTTTTAAAGAGTACTCTTGGGCCAGCAGGCGGCATGGAGGTTAAGGCACTGGATCCCAAATGGCTGAGTGTGTGGTTCAAGTCCCAGACCTGGCAGCTTGAGAACATGCCAGGTGCATGTACATACATGCTCAAAATTCTGTGAGGATGGAAGAGAAAAGATTGTGGCCTGGCCATCTCCCCAGGGGATCATTTCTCAAAAAAACTTTTTGTCTGGCAAGCACACACACACGACAGCAAACAAACAAAAACAGAGTACTCTGGAATGAAGAATAAACTGTACATAGAAAAGAACAACTATGAAGATACTAGTCTAAGGTAGGCTGATGGTCCAGCTATGTGCCTATGTATGTGTTCATAAAAACGTACAGATATTCATGGATATTGGATACATACACACATACATATATATGTATGTACGTTGTACACCTGTGTGTATGACATACACATGTATGTTAAAATAAAAAATAAAAGCCTGGACGTATATATACCAAAAGTTGATGGTGCTTTCTTCTGTAGCAGGGAATGGTTTTGAGGTGATATTAAGTGATACCTTCAATTTATACTCTAGATAAGTCCATATCATCTAATTTTTTAAAAGAATTATTTATTTCACTTTACTTATTATTATTATTCAATTTCACCAGAGAGAGACAAAAAGAAAGGAGAGTGAGAAAGCAAGTTGTCATGTCCGGGACTTGAACCATAGTCAGCCATGTAAGAGTCCAGTGCCTCAACCACCACACCATCTGCAGGCCCCTTCATATCATCTAATTTTTTATGATGAAGGAATAGTCATGCATTTGTTACTAACATTAGGAAAATTATTAAAAGGTATTGGTACATTCTTATGACAATTTTATACAGGCTTAAAATACTTTCTTTCTTTTTTAAAGAATTATTTATTTAACTTTATTTATTCTTTTTTTTTTATTTATTTTAATTTTACCAGAGAGAGAGAGAGAGGGAAAATGAGAAAGCAAGCCACCAGGTCTGGGACTTGAACTGTGGTCAGTCATGTGAGAGTGTCCAGTGCCTTAACTGCCACGCCACTTGCTAGTCCCCAATATTTTCAGAGGAGTTTAAATAATATTATAAAATGTTCACAAATGATAAAAAGGAGGTTATAAAACCATACACATAATATAACAACATATATATGGGTATCTACACATATTCATAGAATAAATAACTGTTGAGCTCTCTAAAATGTGAAACTTTGTGTGATTTTATTTCCTAAATAATAGTTTAATTTTCCAAGTTTCCCACAATGATCAGTGGTCACTTTGATTTATTTTTAATTACTAGAAATAATAAGAAGAAAACAACTGCTGTTTTTTTAAGAATAGGGATGTTTCCTACAGAACACTGCTTTTTTAAGGATATTTTGATCACTAGACAAATATCCACTGTTAATGTAGGATTGTAAACTATAAAGGAGACAGGGCAACTAGAGTGTTTTGAAAAACTAGAATAGATTTTTATGAGTCATATCAATACCTCTTCTACATTTAACTGCTATACTGGAGACTACTATAAATTACCTAAAACAGAGTTAGACTGGGGTTTTTTATTTATATTTCCCAAATCTGGGGGGCTAGCATGATGGTTAGAAGCTAAAAAAACTAGGTCCAGCAGATGGTATAACAGTCATTTCAATGGACTCCAACATGGCTGACAACACCCAGACCTGGTGGCTTGACAGCACGCACGTGCGTGCTGCCCAAGATCCTGGGAGGAGAATGGAGGAGAAGGGATTGCGTCATGGCCATCCCCCTCGTGGGGGGGTTTCTCACTTTCTCTCTAAGTTTCTCTGTCTCTGTCTCTCTCTCTCTGGCAAGCATATATACATGCCCTAAGGCAAAAATCTCTCTAAAAAAAAGCTATTAAAAACTACAAAACTATAGTTAACAATAATGTATTGTGTATTTCAAGATGGTGAGAAGAGAGGATTATAAATGTACTCAACACAATAACTTACATTTGATGATGGCTAATGCTAATTATCTGGGTTTGATCATAACATATTATACTCATGTACCAAAAAAACCATACTGTATCCTATAAATATGAACAATTATTATATAAATTAAAACATTTAAAAATTAATTAAAAAAACAGATCAGAGATTGACGGGGTGGGAAGATGGTAATGACTCTAAGAGAGTAGCACAAAGGACTATCAGGAATTTACAGAACTCTTCTCTAACATGTTGGTTGAATGCTGGTTACGCAACAGTGCAAATTTGACAAAACTAATAGAACTAAACACAAAAAAAGAGAGTACATTTTGCTTCATGTAAATAATTTTTAATGAACAAATGGCACAGCATTAAAACACAATGCTCTGAAAGGGAGCCCTACACAGAATGGGTGCCAGTTCATGTCCAGAGACATCCCTGAATGTGCCAGGCATGCATTTGCCCATGATTTAGAGCTAGTTGAAGCTAGCCTAGGACCAAGATATCAAGACTCTTTCATGGGTGCAGTATCTATGTCTCTGTCTCTCTTTCTCTATCATTGAATAAACAAACTTAAAACAAACAAATAATGTGGGTTCTTGTGTCAGATTAGCCAACAAATCTGCCTCTCTTACTTTCTGACTATATTAGGGGACTGCAACAAGTCTGTGGAAAAATGAAATTAAAGTACTAGTTTATTTTGGTGCAAAAAATTTGAATCTATGCATAGCTTTTTTCATCATATGCATTTTGTATGAACATTTTGAAGACCCCTTATATAACTTTGGACAAGATAACTACTAGCTTAAGTTTCTAAATCTATAATATAAAAAAGGGGATCAATAAGAATAACAAACCGTCTGATATGGTTGTTATGGGAATTAAAGAAACAATGTCTTTTAAAGCACTTGGTAGAGTGACTATAGGTGTTCAATAAATGTTTGCTACTCTTACTGAACATCACCTATTATGTCAGGGAGATTGACTGCTATCTCCCACCCAATTAGAGTAAAAAGGCTAGCAGAGAGCCTTTCTTCTGACTTCCATGTGAAGGGTAAATTTAGTTAAGAAGACATGTTAGCGTCAGATAAAATAGCTCAGACTGTGAAGTGTATCTGGGTTCAAATGTTAACTCTACCACCCACTAGCTGTGTGAGCTTGGAAAAGCAGCTTAATCGCACTAGGCTTTGTTTCCCTTCTTCCTCACCTTTAAAATGAAGATGGTAATCGTTCCTACTTCACATTTACTTGAAGATTAATACATGTAAAATGCTTCAAACAATAATTAATATAGTAAGTACCTAGTAAGCATTAGTATATGACAGCCAAACAAAAAACCTCTACCTACAATAATGTGACTATTATTTAACCTTTTACTTGAGCCTCAGTTTCCAGATCTGTGAAATTAGGAAAATATGGTATATCACAAGTAAAAATATAGGTTCTAGACCCAGAATACCTGGATTTAAACCATTTACTAGTTTTATCACCTTGGGATAGTTATTGAACCTATATGAAGATAACAGTACATTATTAACAGAATTGTTGTGCATTGAATGTATTAATATATACACAAAGCACATAGAATTGTGCCAATACTAAATGCTCCATAAATGTTAGTTACCATTATTACAGGGCTGGGGGTTAACTTAAGTGAGTTAAACTATTTAAATGTCTGTTTTGGTTTGAATGTGTACCCTCCAAAATTCATGACCTGCCCATGTGACAGTATTAAGAGGTGGCCTTTAAGAGGTTATTAGGACATGAAGTCTTTTCCCTCAAGAATGGGAAGCCCTTATAAAAGAAGCTTTGCATAGCATCTTTTGACCTCTGTCTTCCATCATGTAAACACACAGCATTCCACCTCCAGAAGATGCATCACTCACCAAAAGACCAAACCCGCTGGGGCCTTGATCTTGAAATCCCCAGCCTCCAAAACTGTGAGAAATATGCTAAATTTCTGTTCTTTATAAATTACCCAGTTTGTGGTATTCTGCAATAGCAGCACAAAATAGACTAAGGCAGTTCATGACAATAAATATTAGCTAGCATTATAGTACTTACACTAATAATAGTTACTATATTATTACTTACTACATATTTGTAATTTGTTATTACACTACTAATCATCTAACCTAAACTGTTTTCCTTTATATACCTAGGCTAATTTCCCTTAAATAGGAAATAATTCCTATTTGTCGCTGGTCCCTAAGTTTGTTTCTATGGCAACTACTCTTTGATTATGGCTCATGCTTTTATTATTCCTGTTCACAAAATTCCAAATGCCTTACTGATGAGGATGCATTTAATAGTTTCTAAGCCATTCCTAGCGATCTTTGCTGGGGCACTGGATGCATTTGAATGAAATGGAGATGGTATATAAACTACTAGGTATGTGAAATAATGTTGGTATTATAAATCAGAATCTCTCCAGTCTGGAAAAATTACAGTCATAGGACCATATAATTGAGAATTTACCATGCAAATGAAGCCTGTCTAATTGAATTTCCAGATACAAGAATCTCTGCAATAGAGGCTGATGCCTTACTGTTGGCTGCTTCATGATCTAAATGATTACAAATAATTGCTGAATGTTGGCCATAAAGAGACAGAAATATCTGGTTAAAAGAAGCAATGGGACAACCATTAGAAAGCTAGGTACTAATGTATACTATATATATGTAATGACTTTTTTGGATGTAATGAACTATTACTGAATATAAAAAAAGATTTAAATATCACTTTCTTACATTTGTGTGTGTGTGTGTATGTGTGTATATAAAATATATAAACTTTGTTTTGTTCTTAAAAGTCTATTCACTTTTTTCTTCTGTGAGTGAGAAAATGACAGCATCACCAACAGGGTGTTGACGCCACAAGCTACCCACAGGCCTTAACCAGTGCCAGATCATGGGCAAACATGTGCCTGGCGTATTTAGGAAGGTCTTGAGACTTGAACTGGGAGCCTTCCCATGTGAGTCTGCCTCACAGAGCACTGCACTCTGTTCAGCCCTATAAAATATAAATTCTTAAACTGCTGCTTTACCTTTTTCCAAAAATATATGGCTATCACTTCCATCACTTTCTAACAACTGTTCTTCCAGTATCATACTGTCAAGTGAAATGGTATCCAGTGAGAGTTGTGAGGAGCTTCTTTTCATATTCTTATAAGAAACACAGAGTGGAGCCAGGTTGGATGGGCAGCGTTCTTTAGGCTTTCCGCTGTTAACAAACAAAATTATTTTTAAATTACTACATGTAATGAAAATAATTGTATTCTAAAAATTCGTCTAGGGGACCAGCAGTTGGCGTAATGGCTATGTTGCTGGGCTCCCATGTAGTCAAACATGGTTCAAGTCCCGAATCCAGTGGCTTAAACTCATACCAGGCACGTGTGCGTGTGCGCCCAAGATCCCCAGAGGAGAATGGAGGAGAAGGGACTGCGGTGTGGCCATCCCTCTGGGGGGGTGATTTCTCGCTTTGTCTCTCTGTCTCTCTCTGGCAAGTGTACACACTCTATAGCAAAAACCTCTCCATAAATAGATAAATAGATAAATAAATAGATAGATAAATAGATAAATATAGATAAATAGTAGATAAATAGATAAATATTCTAGCAAATTAAAAATACTCACATAGCATCCAGTTTTTACATTATATTTAAATATATGGGCTTTAAAGTGTTCTTATATTGTGAAAAACTCTATTCTTCCATGCCATATTTTGTTATAAGGTTTTCTGCCCAAAACAAAATACACTCACATGTACACATACTCAACAAAACAAAACAAAAATTCCAATATGTTGTTACCTTAAAAATGACTGTGATTTAAGTGTTCTAGCTGTGGTTGTCTCTTCTTTACTGATTTCTAGGTTCTCAGAGAATGAAGCTGCTTCTGGAAGCAAATCTTCAGCTTTAAAAATTGACTCTACATTTTCATTTCCTTTACCAATTACACTATTTGAAAGCATGTTTTGATTACCATCATTATCAAATGACGGCATATTTGAATCTTCTCTGTAATTTATGACACTATTCGAATCTGCAGAAGAGGAATCCCTTTTATGGCTTATTTCTGATCCAAGTTCTCCTGAGCCGCTTTTGCAAACAAGTCCACTACTTTCATCTTCACTTATTTTTCCTAAATGTTTATCTGATAAATAGTCCAGGAAAGAAATACCCTTTTGCAGATTTGTATCACTAGCTGACTTAAAAAGCAAAGGATCTTTTAAAGGGACGTGGCTAAGATCAACACTCAAAGACCTGCTGTCTGACATATGATTAACAGCTACACTTCTAATTCGATTTATACCACTACTAAGTTGTTTTCTTTTTGAAGACAAAAATTCTCCATTTTCTGTAGGCAAATAATCTGGAACCATCGGGCTCACACTTTCAGAAACAGGAGACTTCATAGTAGTTGCCTGGTCCACTGGATGCAGCAAAAGAGCCAGTTCTGCACTTCTCAGTAAAATTCCAACGCACACAGACATCTGACTAGCAGGACTGCCAGTCACAGCTTCTACGTCTTTCCTTAAGTTTTCTGAAAGCAGAATAAGTGACTCATGAAGGAAAAGTAGGAACAGGTACTGGTAGTGATTGATCTGCATACTGACATGTTTAAGAACGTGAACCAGGACATGAATATCTGCATCCGATGGTGAAGAGGAACATCTTAAAAACGAATCTGATAAAGGTGTCTTCTGGCCATCGGCTGTCAATGGCTCGGATTCTGTACTATAATACTCCTTCAAGAGCTTTTTCCGCTTCAATCGGCCAGTCAGATCACTAGATTCACTTTGTGATGTATTTAGGGATACCTGACTACAAGTCTGCAGCTCTTTTTGTGACTCTGTATACCTTGTTGGTTGACAAATCCAGATGGAAAGAGGAAAGGCATCTACAAAACTTACTGGTCGTCCTTTTCCACTTTTCATCCCTTCATAGTCTATCCAAAATTGGGAAAAGTGAACAGCCCAAACATCAGTAGCAGCAGAAGTTTTAAGAGTGTGCTTATTCAATTTAGGAGTAATATTTCCCTTATAAACTTCATGCATTTTGGTATCTTGTTCATGAGCATGTCTCTGGAAGATGGGATGCAGAAGGTTGAAACTGTCACAAGATTTGGGAAAGCTGGTATATGTTTTACTAAAAAAATCACAATCTTTGAAGTCTTGAAACAAAGCTTCTAGATCAGAATGTCGACAGTTTGGACACTGCCTTGTATTTGTGGCAGTCATTTCAGAACTCTGAATAGAAATTGCATGTGGCTGATCTTGATGACATTCAGATTTCATTTCAGAAGGAATCACACACTAGAAGGCAAAAAAAAAAAAATTAACCTATTCCAACTTATAAATCTATACATCTTAAAAACAAAATAATCAAGAACATGACATAGCTCAAGAATTCTTTTCTCAACATTTCTCTTCAATATTATTTTCCTATTCAAACATCTGCTGGCTCAATGTTGAGTATTACTGACCTCACTTTACTGAGAAAAAAATCAAGGTATATATAAATTTAGTCTACCAGCAAGAGACCTACAGACTGAAATTTTCATCCATGTCTAGATCTTATTTTCCCTGTTTACCAAACTATGTCAGCTCTCTTTTTTAAAAAATCTCCTTCCTCTAAAATTTAGCTACCCATGGAGGGCAATGATCAACCACTTGAATGTAATAAAAAACAAATTTGTATTATCTTTGGATAGTAACAAAACAGTAAATGAACAAATTAAACTCAGATATAATTTTTAAGCTTTATTATATAACTTATCCTTCTCAGAAGAAAATTTTTAACTGCTCTTTTAAGAAGCAGAAAATAAGATGATTGAGTTTAACTTTACTGCTATAGCTCATCTCCAAATTGATGAGCAGTACAAAATTGAAAAAAATATTAGAAAAAGAAGGGAATTTAAAAAATAATAAGAAATACAAACTGGCAAGAAGAAAAAAGTCTCTTAAAAGATTCTACCAAATTGGGACCAGCAGTTAGTGTAATGGCTATGTCGCTGGACTCCCATGTAGTCGACCGTGGTTCGAGACCTGGATCTGGTGGCCTAAACTCACACCAGGCGCGTGTGCGTGTGTGCCCAAGATCCCAAGAGGAGAATTGAGGAGAAGGAATTGCGGCGTGGCCATCCCCCCTGGGGGGTGATTTCTTGCTTTCTGTCTCTCTGTCTCTGGCGCGCACACACGCCCTATAGCAAAAACCTCGCTCAAAAAAAAGGTTCTACCAAATTGAGAATAAATTGAATTTTCAATTTTAAAATAAAAATTAAGATTGCAATGAAGTTGATTTATATTTAAACACCCATCTTAAATCCAGACAAAGTATAATGCTGTCGACTCCTCTTTCATAAAAAATGGTTTTGTAATCACAGCCACATGTTTATATGGTACCTTTAGCATCAAGCCATCAATGCGAATATCAACATGCTCATCAGATTTTGAATTGTCATTCAACTTGTACACAGCCATGAATTGATTAAGACTCTGTTTTAAATCCAAAAGAAATTGATTTAACCATAGAATGCTTCTTTGATCCAGAGTAAATTGTAGTGCATTCAGCTGGCTATAAAGGTTAGGAGATGGAACTGTAGGGGAAAAAAATCAATATAAAATTTCAAGGTGTTATTTACAAGAATAAAGTGACATATGTGAATGATAAAAAAAAATTAAGACAAAAACCATTTTTCTATGCTTCACTAACTGAAAAACATATAGTTAAGCTATATAAATAGAAAGTACTGTTAGGCCAGCAAGTGACATGGAGGTTAAGGCACTGGATCCCACATGACTAACTGCATGGTTCAAGTCCTGGATGTGGCAATTTGAGAATCACCAGGCGCGCGCGCGTGTGTGTGTGTGTGTGTGTGTGTGTGTGTGTGTATACTCCAAGATCCTGAGAAGAGAATGGAGAAAGGATAGTGGTCTGGCCATCCTCCCAGATTTTTTTCTCTCTCTCCTTTCTCTCTGGCAAGTACACACACCCTATCGCAAAAACTTAAAAAAACAACAAAAAAAGGAAGTACTGAATACTGTTTATACTGTTCCGATTTCTTTCCCAAAAGTTACAGTCTCCAAGAAGTAAACTTGTGTGGGGGAAAAAAAAAACACTTTCTTAATAAAGTGTCACATCAAAGTTATGGTCTTTAATCATGTATTTCTGTAGGGACTTAACTTTCTGAATCTTAAAATGAATACTCTAAAGTAAGAAAACTGGCAGTGGTTCTAGGTGCACTGCAGCCCCCAGGCACTTGGTACATGCCATCTGTAGCCAAGATGCCCAAGAGGAAGATCAGCTCAGCCAAGAAGGCAGCCAAGGAAGAGACCAAGAGTTCAGGGAGGTTGTCAGCTAAACCTGCTCCTGCGAAAGTGAAGAGGTAAAAATGGCAACAGGGAAGAAGAGTCCACCCTCTAATGAAGCAGGCAAGAAAGAAGTCAAGTCTGAGTAGCACCACATACCATGTTTTATCAGTGGTCCCTGTCTCTCTTCTTGTACGATCCAGAGGAATATTTTTATCAATGATTTTGTAAATACAAGTTTTTTTAGTAGCTCTGGAAACATTTTTAAGAAGGAGGGGAACCAGCAGTTGGCATAACGGCTATGTCGCTGGACTCCCACGTAGTTGACCACGGTTGGAGTCCTGGACCCAGTGGCTTAAACTCATGCCGTACACGTGTGCTTGTGTGCCCAAGATCCCAAGAGGAGAATGAAAGGGAAGGGATTGCAGCATGACTATCCCCCCAGGGGGGAATGATTTCTCATTCTCTGTCTTTCTCTGTCTTTCTGGCAAGCACATGTGCCCTATAACAAAAACCTCTCAAAAAAGAGGGAAGGAATCCCAACTCATTCCATTTTTTAAGTATAAATGCTTTTAGGGGTGGGTGGTAGTTTTTATATCCTAAATACAAAGCATACTAAATGGCAGTTGGGAGTCACAGTCATGCATTTACTGTGTCTTAAATATTTTTAATTACTTCTATTATGCTTTTTAGTAGTATTGTTTCCTAAAGAAAAACCACTCTTTGATTGTTGCTCTCCCTACTGGAATTGTGTACACTCTGTAACATCTTTGGTCGTGGTGGTCCAATTTTTCTAATAATTTTGTTAATGTCTTGAGAAAGATTAGAGATTTGAGTATGAAGTATATATGATACTAAATTGTGATTTGGTAGTACTTTTGTAACATTTGAAGACAGTGGCACTTGATATCCTCTTAAGAAAAATTTACCTACAAATTTGAAGCTGAAATGTGACTGGAATAACTTAAAAAGAATCATGATACTTGGCTTTTTAACTTTTCAGTATGTATATTAAGAACTGAGTACAAATTGAAATTATTGTACTGCTCCTTGACACAACCAATAAACCTGTTCCAAAAGAAAAGTTCTGTGGCCAGCAGTTAGCATAATGGCTATGTTGCTGGACTCCCATGTAGTCGACTAAGGTTCAAGTCCCAGACCCAGTGGCTTAAACCCATGCCGGGTGCGTGTGCGTGCATGCCCAAGATCCCGAGAGGAGAAAGGAGGAGAAGGGATTGTGGCGTGGCCATCCCCCCTGGGGGATTTCTCGCTTTCTGTCTCTCTCTCTCTGTCTTTCTGGCGAGTGCACGTGCCATATAGCAAAAACCTCTCAAAAAAAGAAAGAAAGAAAAGTTCTTTGGTCTCAGCCACAGAAACAAGATGACAAAGGGAATGTTATCCTTTGGGAAGTGTCGCAATAAGATACACACATTGTGGCACCGCTATGGTTCTAAAGCCTATCACCTTTAGAAGTTGGCCTGTGGCAAATGTGGCTACCCTGCCAAGCACAAGAGAAAGTATAACTGGAGTGCCATGGCTAAAAGACGCAATACCACCAGGACTGGTTGAATGAGGCACCTAAAAATTGTATACCGCAGATTCAGGAATGGATTCTGTGAAAGAACAACACCCAAACCCAAGAGGGCAGCTGTTGCGGCATCCAGTTCATCTTAAGGATTTCAACGATTAGACAGGCAATAAATATTCTCAGTTAAAAAAAGAAAAAAGAAAAAAGAAAAGAAAAGGAGAGAACTAAATTCAATTACCAATTTCTTGCGAAAATGCTAGGCAGATCTCCTTGAGAGGAAGGATGCATGATTTTATTCCCTACTTTAATCAAGTCCTAGAACAGAGGTTGATGCAAGGTAAAAACTCAAGTATCTCTTAAATAATCATATGAATACACTCTTTTTTATAGCTCTCCTCAAATAAACTAATATTTACAATTATAGATTATATCACTTTCTAAAATCCACATTTAGTTCTTTCATAAAAGCCCGTTAGCTTGCAGAACATCTTGGTGAAGATCTTTTATTCTAAAAATTCCAACATATTTTACTTGTACCAAAGCAGAAAGTATGAACATCTTTAGACTATATTAATTTTAGGAAAATAAATACAAGGTATAGGATGCCAGTGGAGAAATAACACTTAACAATAACCTGAATATGATTTTTTTGCTATGTTACTCATTTATTCATTTACTTTCATTTTGTAAAGATTTATTGAATGTCACCTACATTCTGTGTATTGTGCACAAAAAATTAAAAAGAGCAACAGGGCACAGTCCATTTCCTTAAAAAGTTCAGTTTATTTCATCAGACATTATCTAGAGAAAAATTCTAATTCGAGTCTATCAAAGACATGCAGTTGTGGTGTGGAAGTGCTTGTCTTGGGAAATAGAAAGGAAATGGCATGCTAAGAAGATTGTATCATGTTTTGCAATGCAAGGAGAGGGAATCTCCATGTACAGACTAAGTGACAACAGTAGCCATAGAGAAGACTAGAGAACAAAAGTAGTCTCCAAAGCCAAAGCCAGAGTACAGAAAGAAAGAATCCTACGGCAGATCTGGGACTGAGTACACTAAGCAGTGGGAAGTTCTATCCGCAATTTCCAAAGAGGTCTAGGTAAGAAATAAATGATTGGAACCAGTAGATGGTATAATGGTTATGTGGTGGAACTACAACATAGTTGATCACTTTTCAAATCCTAGACCCAGTGGCTTAAAACTCACCCCAGGTGTGTGTGCGTGTGTGGCCAAGATCCCGAGAGGAAAACAGAGAAGGGACTGTGGCATGGCCATGCAGCGTAGCCATCCCCACTGAAGAGTGATTTCTCACTTTCTGTCTCTCTGTCTTGGGTGAGAGCATGCGTCTTAAAGCAAAAATCTCTCTAAAAAAATTTAAAAATGATTATGTAGCTACTAAAGATATTTAAAATTAGTTTGTAGGAATCTTGGACATGCTCATATCATGAAGGGAAAGGAACACAATGCACATTACATATGTAAAAGAAACATTCCATTAAAAATAGGAGTAACAGGGACTAAAAGGTGGCATGGTGGTGATTAAGGTGCTGGACACTCCCACATGGCTAACTGGGGTTCAAGTCCCAGACCTGGTGACTTGCTTTCTCTCTTTCTCTGTATCTCTCTGGTCAAATTAAAATAAACGAATAAATAAATTAAATTAAATTAATATTTTTAAAAATAGGACTAACAACACTATATATTAGCTATTATGCAATGAACTGTGTCATTCAAAATTCATATTTAAATCCCAATCCCCAGAACTTCAGAACGTGACTATATTTGGGGAAAAGGCCTTGGAGAGATGATAAAGATAATGAGTTCCTACGGGTGGGCCTTAGTCCAGTATGAATTTTTATTAACTATACAATGCCAGAGTTGTTTACAAATAAAAATCCATGTAATTTAATGTATCCAGAAAAATGTAAGTACCAGAAGTCACCCAAAATACACACATTTGGGCACTTGAAAATAGCTGAAGAAATTCTCAATAGTTAAAAGAACAACTTTACTCATTCTTTAATGTAGTTATATGAGGAGTTTTATACAAAGCTTAAATATTGGGTCACCAGAAAAGTCATGACATATCATATTTTGCATAGACTTTCCTATGTAAAAACATGTCATGACTTTTCTGACAACCTAAGATAAATGGAGTTTTACTAAAAGAAAAAAAAAGATCCGATTCTACAAATAATACAATTCTCATTTATTCCTGCACTTAATAATTAACAACTATGCACAAAAATTAGTCAAACTTGATGAATAAGATGAATCTTGAGTACCACATGATCCTGCCATTAAAAAATACTATAAATTAGTGACAGATCAGAACATACGGACAAAAGACAATATGTAAAGATGCTATACTAAAGTTCTGAACCACACACAATGGATAAGAGTAAAGAGCAACAAACACTTGCTCCATTTTTCAGATTTATAAAACTTAAAAAACATAGTAAGGAAAAAATATTTTCTAAATAATGGACAAATAATAAAATAGAAAACTCTTACTTGGAAAATCCTTTCCATCTGGGTAGTAATATTCTGTAAATTCTATATAAATAGCTGACATATCTTGTGGAAGATACAGGGATTTTTTATTGCAGGAAATCATACTTTTGGGGGAAGAACGATATTGTTCTGCTGTAGACACCTGAAAAAATAAAGTTTACTTAAGTCACACTGGATAAAGCTCTTTCCAAAGAATTTATACAACCTCGATATCACTTAAAACTCTTTTTATAACTTATCCCAGTAATTTGCTAATGGTTCTAGCACAGCTCTGTTATATATTTAACTTTATGCTTTTTTTTTTCTAGAAAGATTTTTGCTATAGGGTATGTGCTCGCTCGCAGGAAAGACAGAGAAAGAGAAAGCAAGAAATCATCCCCGGAGATCATGGGGGCTGGCCACACCACAATCCCTTCCTCCTCCATTCTCCTCCCGGGATCTTGGGCATGCACACATAAGCACACAGCGTTGAGTTTAAAGCTGCCGGGTCTGGGACTCAAACTGCAGTCGACTCTGTGGGAGTTCAGTGACAGAATCATTACTCCATCTGCTGGAACCAACTTTATGCTTTATTTTTTGCATTTAAAAAAATATATAATTATTATTATTACTATTTATACATTCAATCGCTGGACTGAGGTATATATCATGCTAATATATCATGCTCTTTACAGTACAACTCTGCTTTTTAAGACAGAGTGTCGTGGGGTCTCAATCATCCTGCCTAAGCCTCCCAGATAGTACTATAGGCATGAGCCACCACTTCTGGCTCTTTTCAGATAGTACCTATGTTTCCTAAGGCAGCTTTGAGCTCACAATCCTCCTGCCTTTGCTTCCCGAGCCATTGGGGTTATGGGTGCATAGCACCACCCGCTCTCCCCGACCCCACACTCAAGTTGGACGGGGAACTGAACCCAAGTCCCCCTTGTGGTCCCAACCTGCAGAGCAGTCTCAGTGACTTGTGCCACTGTGACTGGACCAGATTAAATTGACCTTAAAATAATATCTACCAACTATTGGGAACCAGCAGTTAGCGTAATGGCTATGTCGCTGGACTCCCACGTAGTCGACCGCGGTTCGTGTCCCGGACCCGGTGGCTTAAAACTCACGCCGGGTGCGTGTGCGTGTGCGTGCGTGCCCAAGATCCCGAGAGGAGAACGGAGGAGAAGGGATTGCGGCGTGACCATCCCCCCTGGGGGGTGATTTCTTGCTTTCTGTCTCTATGTCTCTCTCTGTCTGTCTGGCAAGCGCACGTGCCCTACAGTGAAAATCTCTCAAAAAAAAAAAAAAAATCTACCAACTATTCAGAAACCTCCATGACATATTTTGGATGCTTACCAATTAAAAAATCATTGTATAATAATCCTTGAAACTTGTTATTTTTAGCCTTAAAATAAAAGATAGAAAAATAACAATAATGATCTTCTCTCAGATATACAGATAAACAAATGACAAAGTCAAGGCAGAGATCCAAGTCCTCAAGGCCAGAACACTTCCTCATTTTTTGTGTTGTTTTGTTTTGTTTTTAAGTTTGTTATAGGGCTCACATGCTTGTCAGAGACAGAGAGAGGAAAAGTGAGATAAGTCTTTATCACAGAGAGATCCCCAGTGCACTGCAAGATATTTAGCAACATCACTGGTCTTTACTCAGCCATGTGGGATCCAGCTGCCTTAACCTCCACACAACCTGCTGGCCTACCCAGTATGGTCTTTACAGTAATTCTTTATCACAATTTCTCTATTTTTTAAAAAATAATAGTTAAACATTATACATAGTTTTAATTTGGGATAATGAAAAAGTTCTGGAAATGAATAGTGATATTCTTTGCACAACAATGTGAATGTACTTAATGCCAATTTATAGTACACTCAAAAATTATTATAATGGTCACTTCTGTTATATTTAGCACAATAAAAAACTCACAAAATAATATAATTATAAACACGTTCATCAAATACTTCCTAAATTGTTTTTTTTAATGACTACTAGTTTTCTGGTTCTGGTTACATTTTTTTACTCTCTTCCCAAAAGAGTTTATTTGTAAATTCATCAAATAAAAGTACATACTGTATTTTCTCTGAAATTTTGTGAACAAAGTTTATCTATTTTATTTATTTATATGAGTTTAGTAGGCCCAGATAAGTGTCCCAAAGTTTTTTTCATTCATTACATACAAATGTGTACATTCTTCATATAGATTATTTTCTCAAAATCTATTTATGATTCTTCTTAAATTGTTAATCAAATATTTTTAAGATTTTTACAGTCTTCATAAATTTAAGACAGTTTCTTATATTAGCTAATTAAGAAGTTTCTGTATATATGGAAATAAATCATTATCAATTCAGTTTCAACTTGTTTTAATAAACAGCTCATTTATTTTTCTCTTTAATAGTAAAAAAAACTTATTCAAATTGCAATGGATACTTTATTTTCTTTTACTTTTTGTTTATTATGTTTTGTTTTTAGTGTATATATGTAGAGTTTCTTTATTGTATTTCATTCTCAACCATTTGGGATTATGTATAATTCTTCATCACTTCATATGAATTTATTTAAATCTAAAGATTTAAAGTCTGTACTAAAAACCTTGTGTATGGGGGTCAGCAGGTGGTATAGTAGTTAGGGCTCTGGACTTCTACATGGCCAACCATAGTTCAAGTTCCAGACCCAGTAGCCTGAAACTCAGGCTGAGAGTGAATGCGTGTGTGTCCAAAATTCCAGGAGGAGAATGGAGGAGAAGGGACTGCAGCATGGCCATTTATATTAATATATTATGCATATAAAAAAAGGAATTTGCATGATGAAAAAATAACTGTTAAATCTGTACTTCTCAATAATGGCAGTACTGATTTTTTGGGCAGAAAAGTTTTATCACAGAGAATCCCCAGTGCATTGCAGGATGTTTAGCAGCATCACTGGCCTTTACTCACTAGATGTCAGCAGCACCCCAACAATCAAAATTACCTTCAACATTACCAAATGTCCCCTGGGAAACAAAATCTAAGTTGAAAATCACGAAATTAAATAAAAAATTATCAAATGAAACTAATTCTCAAAGCAATAGGGTTATCAGAATAAACCAGAACATTTATAAATGATAATATAAATCTGAAGCCCTTTATTTTATTTATAAAAAATAGGTCATATATTCAATTGTGTTGGCCTCGAGGACTGTGACATTATACCAGGTTGTGTGATGACAATCTGAATAAGATTGTTAGTATAAATGGAACAGATTTCTTGGTTATAAAATTATGTTCACAAGTAAATAATGCTTAATAGCTGAGTAAAGCAAAAAAAAAAAAAAAAAAAAAAGTCAGTTTCTTCCACAGAGATCATTGTGAACAAGAAATTTGGCCTCTGAAGAGAGGTCTGGCCTTCATCTCTGCTCCTAGTAAGTAAGTAGGAATTGGAATTTCCTTTTTGCAGTGGGCCCTCTTGGACCATAACTGATATTTTATGCTAGTAAGACGATTCATGGTGGAGCTGGTCAAACTTGATAGTCTTAGCTGTGTTTAGATAATGGGGGCTTTGGTCATTTGCTATCCGTTGCCTATATACTGAGTATAACCATAAATAAAGTATATTTAAAACAATACTGACAGCCTAACAAATCCTGAGGAAAAGCTTGACATCTGGGACCCTCCCAGACTATCCTCCCTGGATAGCTCTTTCTACAGCAGGCTGGTGCTTATTCTTTCAAAATTTCCCTATAAGAAGTACAACTATGAATGTAATGGATTTCATTTAAGTTCTGTGACTCTTTCCAGTGAATTACTGAATCTTAGGGTAGTTTTAGGAACCTCCTCAAACTTAAAGTTATTATCAGAAATCTTTGACAGAGTTGGCAATCTGAAGAACTTTGCCTTTAATTTCAGTTTGGTTAATTCTGGGTAACTATACGAACAAAAATTTATGAACTGATATGTTCTTTATTTAAAATTTGCTAGAGGGCACATGTGCTCTCCACAGAGAAAGAAAAAGAGAGGAGAGAGAGAGAGTGAGCACCACCCAGGGGGATAGTCATGCGACAATCCCTTCTCCTCCATTTCTCTTTTAGGTATTTTGGGCACATACACATGCACCTGGGATGTTTCTCAAGCTAATAGCTCTGAGACTCAGACCACATAGTCAGCCATGTGGGATCCAGCTCCTTAACCACTAAGCCACCAGCTGGCCCTGAACTGATATTTTCCATACCATTTAATTTTCCCATTTCACATTACTGGTTGAGATTTTTTTAAATAAAATTGTGGCATGAGTTATGAGAGTCGATTCTATGAAGTATCTAAAGTGTTTATGAAAATATTTAATTTAAATAGAACATACCTGGTATATATTGAAATCTGCAAGTCTAACCACAACAGAACTAGACATTAGCTTAGCTTTTGAATGTTGAGATAATACTGAAGGTGTTTTTGAAGTCCCTTTCTGGGTAGAATCCTTCTCTGTAAGAAAAAAAAAATACCTTCAAACTTATTCAAAATTACTTTTAATAGTCATCATTTTTTATTACTATTTTAAACTTTATGTATTTCCTCCATGAAAGAGAGAGAGAACCCACACACACACCACCACCACCACCACCATAGAGTTTTGATATCAAGATCCATGCCCAGCCTTTAGCCAGTCCCCAGTCATGGGCACGCATACAACCAGTGTACAAAGAGAGGTCTCTGGACCTGAACTGGGAAACTTCTCATGTGGGATTGCTCCCCAGAATGCTCCATTTTACTGCTGTGCCACCATTTGTCCCTCAATTGTTCTTTTAACACAGATATCTACTAATTTCTAAAGCAAGACTGTTTATGTGAAAATACTTCTCAATTATAAAATGAGAGCTAGCTGGTGGTATGGTGGTCAGGATGGCTGGATCTCACATAGTTGACTGCACAGTTCAAGTAGCAGACTTGATGGCTTGAAAAACAGGCCAGGTGCATGTAAATGTGTTCCTGAAACCGTGAGAGGAGAACAGAGAAGAGATTGTAGCATGGTCATTCCCCCGGGGAGTGCTCTCTCATTCTCTCTCTCTCTTTCTCTCTTTCTCATTCACTCTTTGCTCTTGCTCTCTGCCTAGTGAGCACACGTATCTGTTAGAAAAAAATTATAAAATGACACAAAAATGTAAATTATTATAATTATCTTTCAGTTTTTTTTAACTTGCCACAGGGAGGAGAGAGAGAAAAAAATGAGAAAGCACCTCCATGGGGAATGACCACACCACAATTCCTTCTCTTCCATTCTTCTCTCAGGATTCTGGACATCTGCGCACATGTGCTTGGCATGTTTTCCAAGCCACTGGGTCTGGGACTCAAGCCAGTCAGTCAGTCATATGGGATTCAACCGCCTTTATGGCCATACCACCAGCTGGCCCTGATGATTGTTCTATTGTTCTTTAAACAGGAATCATATCAGTCAAGTCACTTTCCTACAAAAACTTTTAGCTGGAATCTTGTTTAAAAAAAAAAAAAAAGAGAGATCATCTAGCCACTGAAAATTCTGGAAAATTTCCTGGATATTATTCTTACCATATATATTAATTTCAAAAGTGCTTTGATTCATGTCTATGTTGGTTGCATGAAAGGTGCATGATTTTAAGGTATTAAAAATAATACTTATTTACAGGAAATATCATGTTGGGATCACACACACAACACATACACACAAATTAATTAGGGGAATGGCATAATGTTGTTATAGGTAAAATACCTGTTTGTGTGTGCTGGGGAGAGGCATGTGTTGGGGATTTAGGAGGTGAACCTACATTATGATCTTTCACAGCCTGTTTAAGCATTTCAACGTTGCACTCAAATTCATGTAACAACTCGTTGGCCCATCCATTCTTTGTTTTGGTTGCATCACTAAAATACATCCAATGATTACAACTATCTCCTGTAAAATGAATAACAGATATTTTACTTTAAAAATCAAAAACTTTCATATAGTCTGTAATAGCAATTTTTCCAATAAGATTTACTCATTTTCTTAAGGGAGTCTTTAATATTCCCAAAAATTCAGTCTTTCCCTCCTCCTTAATACTTGGAAATATAAATAAAACATTTAGCACAGAGGGAAAAAGTGTTACAAGAAAATGGACTAAAGAGGTACCTATGTAGAAGTCATTTGGATGTGGAGTATCACTGAAATTTTCAATTCAAAGTCAGATGACTGGTCTGCCTTCCAAGGATGCTTAATTACTTGGTAAGCTTCCACTGGACAGAATATCACCAAAATAATACCAAAGGGGGAGGAAAATCCTTTCAAATATTTGTTATCAAGTGTCTAACAAAAGCCTAATTCATAAAAATGATAAGATGACAATTATGAAAACATTTAGGAAACCAATAAAATGTTTCAAGATGGGTGTCAAACACAAAAGTGTGTGTGTGTGTGTGTGTGTGTATATATATATATATATAAGCGTGGTCTTCAAAAAGTTCATGGAAAAACTATGTCAGAAATTTTATGGAAAATGCATAAATTTCTAAAATGTTTTGTACCAAAATAAACTCATACTTTAATTCCATTTCTTTTACAAACTTTTTAAACTCCCTTTTTGTAATTTTTTTGAAAAAAATTAGAATTATTTTCAGTTTCTCTGTAGCAGCAAAGAAAAATAGTGTGTATACAAAATGGTTAAGAAAATGAAATACACTCTATGACTTAAAAGTTTTGTCTCCTGGGACTGGCAGGTGGCACAGTGGTTAAGGGCACTGGACTCCCATGTGGCTGACCATGTCATGGCTTGAGTCCCAGACTTGGCAGCTTGCTTTCTCACTTTCCCTCATTCTCGCCCTCACTCTATCTCTCTCTAGTCAAATTTAAATAAATAAATAAACAAATAAAGTTAAATAGAATAATTCTTTCAAAAATAAAATAAAAAATAAGTTTTGTTTCCCAAAATACAAGCAATAACTTTAAAAGTAAAAAAAAAATAAGTAAATATAAATAACTTATAAATTAAGGGGATAGAAACTTAGACATTAAGTCTTCCTAAATAATAGCAAAAAATTGTACAATTTTTTTAGAGAGATTTTTGCTATAGAGCATGCATACTTGCCGAAGAGACAGAGAAAGATAAACAGAAAGCAAGAAATCACCCCCCTACCCCCAGGGGTGATGGCCATGCTGTAATCCCTTCTTCTCCAGTCTCTTGGGATTTTGAGCGTGCGCGCGCGCGCGCGCACATACACACACACACACACACACACACACACACACATGCATACACCCAGCATGATTTTTTTTTTAAGAGGTTTTTGCTATAGGGTGCGTGCACTCACCAGATAGACAGAGAGAGACAGAGAGACCAAAAGCGAGAAATCACCTCCCAGGGGAGATGGCCATGCCACAATCCGTTCTCCTCCATTCTCCTCTCAGGATCTTGGGCACACACGCACATGCGCCCAGTGTGAGTTTTAAGTCACCAGGTCCGGGACGAGAACCACGGTTGACTACATGGGAGTCCAGCAACATAGCCATTACACTAACTGCTGGTACCCCCAGTGTGAGTTTTAAGTCACCAGGCCTGGGACTCGAACTGTGGTCAACTACATGGCAGTCCAGTAATTTAACCATTATGCCATCTGCTGGTCCTCCAAAATTGTACAATATTTAAATTTTGTTAGTTATCAATACAGAAATTATAAACACTGGTTAGTAGAAATGTGTGAACAAAAAAATGACACAAGTTTTAAAGCCCTGGGAAATTTATTACAGTGCTTTGCTTTTCTTATCTGGATGAATTACAAGAACAAAAAAGCCAAATATCACCCAAAGGTAGAGATGGGCATAAGGTGAATTTATTGGGTTGTCAGAAAAGTCATGACATAAAAATATAAAAATATGTCATGACTTTTCTGACAACCCAATACTTAACTTTAGCATTAACAATTCATATTTTTTGCCTTTGTTATTTGGGGAAAAAAATCTATTAGTATATGACTAATACTAAAGAGCCTATTAAAACTAGAATTTTACAAGTTGGCAAAGTTCATTAAAATCTGTTATCCTTTGTTGTACTTTTGTTTTGTTTTGTTTGGTTTGTTTTTTTTCCAATAGAGTACGTGTTCTCACCAGAGAAAGACAGAAACAGAGAGAGAGAAAGTGAGAAATCGCCCCCTTGGGGCGATCGCCATGCTGCAGTACATTCTCTTCCTGAGATTTTGGATACGCATGCACATGCACTTGGCATGATTTTTAAGCTGCTAGGTCCAGGACTCAAACCACAGTCAGCTAAGGCGGAGTCCAACACTCTAACCACCATGCCACCTGCTGTCTCCCTCTTTTCAGATTTTTAACATGTAAATGTATTGTTTAAAAATTCAATGCATCAAGTGGCTGGCTCTGCTGCCTAGTAGTTAAGGCAGCCAGATTCCACATGGCTGACAGTGTGGTTCAAATCCTGTATCTGAAAGCTGAAAAAACACCCTGGTCATGTGTACCCCAAATCCCAACTGAATGAAGAAATGGAGAAGGGACTGCAATGTGACCATTTCCCATGAGGTGCTTTCTCTCTTTTTCTCTCTCTGTGTCTCCAGTGAGTGCATAAGCCTGCAAGCAAATTTTTTAAAAAATCAGATCAATCAATAATTTGTTTTAGGCAAACTAACAAAATAGCAGAAATATATATTCTCATTTTTTAAAGTTTTAAATCACTTCTTTCAAAACTGCCAGTTTCTAACAATTATAATTTATAAAAAACTCCATAAACGTCAATATAAAATGTTTCAATATTTTGTATGGCAATTCTATATTCTTGGTAAAATACTACGAAGGAAAAAATAATAGTGATCTCTTGATCCCTTTTCTCCTTAACAAATTAAATTGAAACAAAATGTTAAAAAAAATTACCTCTGTAATTTCAAAGCAAGATTCATATCTTTTAGATAAATTGTTATACAAACCTGCTTTATGATAGGGATAATAATCTATAGTCAGCTGTGTAAAAGACAGTTGCATAGCCCCTCCAGTAATACGTCTGTTTGACTCTGGGGGGAAAAAAATGGTAGAGTTGAGAAGAGAAAAGAAAAGGAATTATTAAGCAAATATCAGAAATGATAAATTTACCATAAAACATCTTTACCATGCTTGGAGTCCAAGTAGTAAAAACTGTCTCTCTTTTATCACAAATAGTATATTAAGAATTTTACAAAATGTGAAAATTCCAGTAGGTATATATTGAAGCACTATCATTCATCTGCAAGGCACCAGCTAAAAGGTGAGTATACAAGAATACCAGAATCTGTGCCCTCTTCATAGAATTTATAGATAATAACAGAAGTTTTATATTTATAAACCCTGGCTATATGCCAGCTATTGTTTTAAACACTTTAAGAATGTTTACTCATTTGATTTTCATAACAACTTCACGAGATAGGTATCGTTAGTATCCCTATTTTTTTTAATATTTATTTAACTTTATTATTATCATTTTCTAGTTTTGACTGGAAAGATAAACAGAGAGAGAGAGAGAAAGTGAGAAAGCAAGCTACCAGGTTTGGGACTTGAACTATGTGGGAGTCCAGCACCTTAACCACCATGCCACCTGCCGGCCCCAGTAGCCCCAATTTCTAAGATAAAAAAACTGAGATACAAAGAAGTTAAGGCAATAGACCAAAGAAATATAGCTAGTTAAGTGCAGAGCTGACATTTGAACCCAGGCAATCTTAAAAAGTACATTACATCATCCTGCTTCTTACCTCTTAGAAGAAAACAACAGTTCATTAGTTTAAGTAAATTGTCTAAAGTCGTATCATTATAGTAGGTTACAAGTCAGTGTAACCCTGACATAAAATCAAATTTTGAAACTGCATAGGCAAAGTAACTAGGAGTTAAAATATAAACTAAGATATTGCTATATATACACTCTCTATATTAATTTATTAACTCCAATTTAATCTCAATTAGTAGAAATTATAGATCCACAATCCCTGAACATTTCAGAATTTGAATGTTCTAGATTTTATGACAGTAACATGGTATGTACAGGGTATATTATGCAACTTCACTGTTCTGAGGCAGCACTTAGAAATAAAAAATAGTAATTTTGTAGTAAAAGCTACAAATACTTACACTAAGTGGGTAAAGACAATAAATACCTTTAAGTACAACGAAGATCTCAAAAAGTTTGTGGAAAATTATTTAAAAATATATGTTTGTGCAAAGGAATTTATTAAAAACTATGCATAGTTTCAAGATATGCATTTTCCATTAACTTTTTTTTTTTTGAGAGGTTTTCGCTATAGGGCGCGTGCACTCGCAAGACAGACAGAGACACAGATAGAAAGTGAGAAATCACCCCCCAGGGGGAGATGGTCACGCCGCAATCCCTTCTCCATTCTCCTCTCGGGATCTTGGGCACGCACACACGCGCCCGGCATGAGTTTTAAGCCGCCGGGTCCGGGACGCGAACCGTGGTCGACTACGTGGGAGTCCAGTGACATAGCCATTACGCTAACTGCTGGTTCCCCATTAACTTTTTTTTTTTTTTTAAGAGAGATTTCTGCTATAGGGTATGGGCGCTTGCTGGAGAGGCAGAGACAGAAAACAAGAAATCACTCTCCCCGGGGGTGGGGGGTGGGGGGTGGTGGCCACACAGCAATTCTTTCTCTTCCGTTCTCCTCTTGGGATTTTTGGCATACACATACATGCCTGACATGAGTTTTAAGCTGCTGGGACTTGAACCATGGTCCCTCCATAAACTTTTTGCAGACTTCTTTCTATCTATTAATGTATTGGTTCAGGTCAGGTTTTCCTTCCAGATGAGCCTTTCACAAATATAACAACAAGAACAAAAAACTTTCAGAGCCTTCTAGATTTCACAACAGTAGAAAAACTATTATAGACTTGCATTATAAGGGATATATCTTGGTGGATGGGTTTCTCCCTTAAATAAAATCATTCAAGGGTGGTGTAATGGTAACACAACTGGAACCACATGGAAAAGGTCCTGGGTTTATGTCCTAGGACCCCCAAGAGCAAGTTGGGTATCTATGAAGGAATGACAGAGTGAGGAATGTAGAAGGGCTTACAAAATACTTTCTTTGTTCTGCTGCTTATTCTCTACCCAGCTACCTCATTTTATTACTTTGGTTTAACTTTTTCAGATTTTCTTTTCAAATGACTAGAGCAAAAGATGCCAACTGTAAGCCAAAGGACACAAAACTGGACAAAGGAAAGGACAACAAATCCCTCTGCAAATTCCAAATCTTCCTCACCTTTGTCCTTCCACCCTTCTACCTGATAGCTAATACCCAGCTGTCCTGTCTGATGAAGGCAGGGTAACTAGTACTGCTAAGTATTTAAGGCTTTGATATTTACTTTCTCAGCTTTAAAAAATCCAGAACAACAACCTTCATAGAAACAGATTCTGATTCAGGTCTGAGGTATTCGGGTCAAATAGCTCTATTCTTTAAAAGTTATTTAGCTTCATTCTAATGTGTGCAAAGTTTGAGAACCACTATCCTCAAGGTAGGCCTTCCTGTTAAATGCCCTCAACACCTGTGGGCCAGAAACAATCTCTAGCAGAGAAGCAGAAATACTTAGAACCTAGATTGTGGAACCACAAATTTTCCAGTGACCAAAAGCAATTTCCTGCTTATCCTATTACCTGCACATACGAAATAAGGAAAAGTAAGAGTAATAAAACTAAGCAGAAACAAAAATTCCTAACTAGAATTTTTAGCTTCCTAAGTAGTGAAAGGATGGGAGTGACATGATACATGTTAAATAAACACATACATGTGTTCATATGTACCTGGTCCAGGAATATGAAAACAAACCACAATGCTGAAAATGCATGAGCAATATTTATGAATGAAGTATGGGTTATAATTTATTTTATGAACAGTTCTGTGCAACTATAAAACAGTTAATTCAAAGACAAGTGTTATATTTCATCGCCCTCCAAGAGTATTATTTAGTCAGTCTTAAATTTTTTTAAGACTAATTTTAACTTTATTTATGTATTTATTTATTTATTTTAAATTGACCAGAGAGGGACAGAGCAAGAGAAAGGGAGGGAGAAAGAAAAAGAAAGTGAGAAAGCAAGCTGCCAGGTCTGGGACTTGAACTACAGTCAGCTATGCAAGAGTCCAGCGCCCTTAACCGCCATGCCACCTGCCTAACTTTACATTAGCATCAATAGCCAGCAATTAATTAAGCTTAAGCACTAACTGCAAAAGCAAAATAAAATTACCTACCAACATATAATGCTTGAAATTAAAATAATACATCTCACTGATATATCCACATGAATGATAAAATTATGAATTATCTTTTCTTTTTTCTTTTTTTTTTTGGAGAGGTTTTCGCTATAGGGCACTTGCACTCACCAGAAAGAGAGAGACAGAGACAGAAAGCGATAAATCACCCCCAAGAGGGGATGGCCACGCCGCAATCCCTTCTCCATTCTCCTCTTGGGAACCTGGGCACACACACACACGCACCTGCGTGAGTTTAAGCCACCAGGTCCAGGACTCAAACCGCGGTCAACTACATGGAGTCCAGCGACATAGCCATTACGCTAACTGCTGGTCCCTGCATTATCTTTTAAGAACTATCTTATTTAAATTTATTTATTTACTTATTTATTTATATTTATATTTGAACAGAGAGGGACACAGAGAGAGAGAAGGAGGGAGGGAAAGTGAGAAAGCAGCTGACAGGTCCTGGACTCAAACCGTAGTTGGCCATATGGGAGTCCAGTGCTCTTAACCACTACACCATCTTCTGGCCCCTATGACAAAGTATCTTCTAGTACATAATATACATATATATCACTTATCTTCTAGTACATAATACATAAGATAAATAATCCGTTTTATAAATGACTCTAAAAAAATCAAGATGGTTTGAAATATACAAATTTTACCTTTCTCTTTAGCATGAATGTCATCACATATGTGTAGATCCAAATGAGAAATCACTAAATGATGAGAAGTTTCTTTAACATCAAACTCATTAAACAGTCTCACAATTGCATCATTTAGATCAGGAGCATTTGACGTCTGTGGTGTCTTCACTTGCTGGGTAGATGGGGCTACTGTAGAGCTCTAAAAAGATTCCAAACTGCCTTGTCATTGCCAACTTCAATATTTGAAAATTTCACATACAGCAAAACCTAAATATTCTCATTAATAAAGTCATGAAAAATAGGTATTACATTTTCTTTTGTATCAGTAATTCAGTTCCTCTATTTTCTGAATTATGTAAGAAAAGATCTAAAATGTAAAAACCTGGGAACAAGACACAATTTCAATATGAACACAATATTTCAGTACACAATCTAAATAAGAATCCAATATGTTTCAATAAATATCTGAATAGTTTTATATATGTATAGTCCTCATTTTAGAAAATATTATTGCTATTTTTTTCTGCACATTTTTAATTTCATTTTCTTCCATACATTCAATCACATGATTATTTGTCTTACAAAATGGATATTTCAACAGGTGAACATTTCTCCCTAGTACTGTTGATAAAACTACAAAATATCTTCAATAGATAATACCACACCTCTTTGTGCCATTAATGCTTTGCCTCCCTGTCCCTCCCCCAAATGTCCTTCCTTAGACCTTCCTCTTTCACACACAGCATATCTGGTATTTACATCTATATACTGCATTTCTATATCCTTTAGACAATTAGTTTCAGTCATAGAGTGCAGTCACTCGGTATATCTTAAGTGGCGACATACAATGCCTCTCCTTCATAGCATGGCTTGCTTTACTCAGCAGTAAGTCTTCCATATTCATCCACTTCCTGTCAAAAGCCAGGGTTTTGTTGTTTTATATGGATGAATAGTATTCCATTGAGTATATGTGCCACAGTTTTTCTAACTATTCATCAGTATGTGGGCATTTGGGTTGTTTCCATGACTTAGCAATCGTGAAAAGTGTCACAATAAACATTGATGTGCAAGCACTTTTCCGATTAAGTATTCTTCTGTCCTTTGGGTAGATACCAAGGAGTGGGATTGCTGGATCATATGGTAGTTCTATTTGTAGATTTTTGAGGAATCTCCAAATTGTTCTCCACAGTGGTTGGA